CTGCGGGCGGGCGGGCGGCAGGGGACCAGGTGCTCCTGAACTCCAGGGACCATCAGTGCCCCGAGGAAGCTGCAGCCCTCCCAGCCGCCACGCGAGGGCGCCCCACGTTCACAGTTAACACTGTCACCGGCCTCCTGCCAGTCTCCCCAGGACTCTCTCCTTGGGGGAACTCCTCGCTGCCCCGCCGGGCGGGCGGAAGCCTGTCCTTCCCTTCCCTTCCGGTCCTCGCTCCTTCATTCCAGGCAATAAACATGTAGTGCCCGAGCCAGGCTCTACTCAAGGCTCCTGGGGTCTGTGCGCCTACCTTGGGGGGGGCGTGGTAACTGCTACTGCACTGGGGTTAGGGGTCCCCAAGGCAATGGCCAGCACTACCCGAGGGCCCGGGGGAACCGGCCGGCTCGCCTTCTCTCTGTCTTACTGGCCTCCGGCCCCGGGACAATCCGTGCAGACGAGGGAAACCTGAGTGGAGGGTGTCAGCTCCCCGCATTCACCCCTAACCTTGCCAGCAAACCTGTGTCATCGAACCCATTTTACAGATTAGAAGGTGGAGGCACAGAGAGTTTAAATCACTGGCAAGCCCTGCTCCACCTGGTCCCCGCCTCCCCACCCCGCCCTGCGCTCTGGCCCGAGGGTTCCCCAAACACAGGAGCACACCCCCTCCTCTCCTTTTCTCCCTTGTCTCCCCCTTCTCCCCCGACACTCTTGTCTTACTAACGAACTCCTATGCATCCTTCAATGCCCAGCTCCACTGACACCTACAACAGACCCTCTGTCCGGGTCCCCTCATCCCTATCCAGTCCCGTCCAAGCCTCCACAGCGGTTCTTACTGTTTTCACTTCTGTTCGCCCAACCAGAGTGCTGCCCCTGGAGGTCAGGGCTGGGGTCTCACTTATCCCTGTGCCCCCTGGTCGGGCTGGACAAACGGACCCCACGGGAAAGCTGACTTGCCCCGAGCTGACAAAGCAACGAGTCCCCGTGCCCGACCCAGCGACGGCGCCGGCCCTACCTGCACGGCGATCACAGACAGGACCTCCACGGAGATGCGGTTGAACTCGTCGAAGCAGCCCCAGGCCCCGGTCTGGGCCAGGCCCTTGTAGATGTTGCCGCAGGACTGGAGAGGCGAGATTGGGGGAGAGAGAGGAGGAGGCCCGGTGAGCTGGCCCTCAGCTGGCCCCGCCCCTTGGGGGCCCCTGCCCCTGCCCCTGCAGTCGGGGGAGGGAGGGGAGACCTTGTAGTCCATCTGCTCGGAGCAGTTGAAGACGTACACCATGGTGCCCAGCGCCCGGCCCAGGTCCTTCGTGGTCTCTGTCTTGCCTGTCCCGGCCGGGCCCGCAGGGGCGCCCCCCATGATCAGGTGGAGGGACTGGGTCAGGGTGATGTAGCACCTGTGAGGGACCCGCCCGTGAGCTCCGAGGCCAGAGCCCCTTTCCTCTCCTCGCGGCTCGGCCAAATCCGCTCGGCCCAGCAGGCAGGGAAGGGCTTGAGACGCGGCCCAGGAGCAAGCTCGGTGCCAGGTCCCAGGCACCCCGAGTCCCCTGAGGGTCACTCTGAACCCCTGCTTGGTCCCCAACGCGCTCATGCGGGGTCACACAATACCCTCCCCATGTTGTGGCCCTCGGAGAGGTTGAGCCACCCTCAGGCCACACAGCCAGCGTTGGAGCCAGGGCAGTGGAACTGGGCCCCGGGCGGACAGCTCCCACCGCGGCCCCCCCAGACCCAATGCCTGGCCCTTCCAGCCCCTGCAGGACGTCTGGGCCTGAGAATGGGAAGAGGCTACAGGAGGCCCGTGGTTTCTCCCCCCCTCCCCCTCCCCCAGCCGCCAGGGCCAGGGCGGCGGCC